AAACCTTAAAACTCTAGTTGCGTAGTAATAAAATCATTTTCCCGATGTACTCTTATCAAAACCAGCTGAGTTATCAGTGATTGATGAAACAAATTTGCTATTCTGAGTACACAGCTGCTTCATGTCTCTCATTTTTCATTGTTTCAGTGCATTTCGCACCATAGTCAATAAAAGCCCAGTTTAACTTATTCTTCTCGATACAACATATGAGATCTATCAGAAGATTTCATAGATTTTTATTAGTCCGTAGGAATGATTAATGAACTGTAGTTTTACTAAACAAACTGTAATTAAAATCCTTGAAAAAAAATGTATCTATTATAAACTTCTTCCTTCTATCCATCTCTGTACACTTTTTAATTGTTTTAAGATAATGCGTTATAAGACATGTTATTCTTCAATGACAAATATCTATAGTTATTTATTGACATGACGCCAATTGGTAATATTTACATAGAAATAAGACTTACATGAAATAAACTTGATGATTTTGATACAATTTCTATCATTCCACATTTATCTTGTGTATATGATACCATTGAACGTGTATAACCACCGATAATAAGATGAATAAAAACTAATTTAACAATTGAACGAAAAATAAAAGCAACGAATAGATGCATATGAAGCAGGTTTCGGGGTAAATGCAGTCGTCTAAATAAGAGGAAACATTGGCAAATAAGCGATAAATAACGAGAATTAACAAGAAAATGATGTTTATAGGGCTGAGGTGGTCGATAAGGATATCGATTTATATCAGGAAGTTTTAAACGAAAGATTTTTACATAAAAATATGAAACATACTTGACATTTATCATGCATAAAACAGCAATGGTTAATGATAATAGGGATAAACTTAAACTCATTGTCTCTATCATGATACTAATTGAATTAAACTAAAAATATTTAAAAAAAAGTAAAATAATTTATTATTTTTTCAAAATTCTAAATATACTTTAACTGGTCGACCATCACCAACACATAATTTACATTGAAGATCAGGTGAAATAGTCGGTGCCCAACTTCCATTATTCATACAAAAACGTTCTAGGGTACCTATATTAATAAAAAACGATTTAGTTTTAAGAAATAATAATAATTCAAAACCAACAATTTTCAATTCCATAACGAACACCATCATAAAAATTATTTTGACCATGATCATATTCAATTATATTTGTTGCCAAAGTACCATTAGCTGTTGCTCTCCAACAAACACGAATATTATCTTCATAATCATATGGACATGCCGAAGGAGCTAACAAATATATGAAAATTAATTTACAAAAAAAAAAAGACAGACATCAAATTTTACATGGTAATTTATTGAGAGAACTTAATTGACGACAACGTAAATATTCACGAAAAAGTTTATTTGGTGGAACAATAAGACTCTAAAAAAGATTCATTTAATTAAAAGAATAAAATTATTATAAAATATACCTTATTGGAAAATGTACTATTCATATTTCCTGACTTCATTGCCTAAAAGATATATATATAACAATGTTATAGAGATTTATTCTTTGAAAAACAAAGAATTAATACTAACTGGACGATAGTTTGACCGACTAAATATTATAGTCAAGAGGCCGCTAACTAAAAGTGTTTTCCTTTTATCGAAATTTTCTAACTAGTAAAAGAAATAAATACCCATTTATTACTCACATCTTCAAAACGTAGGAGTAGAAAAAGCAACCAAGATGTTATTACGTCTGTCATTTCTATCTATTAAAACTTGTTTAAAATATCTAAAGTAAAATATTCCGTCAAATAACCATATATTTCTTCGTTAGTTTTGTTATATTATCAATCGAACGTTATACGTATTAGTAACAACACTAAAGAACTAATGCAGCTGTTTAACCATGAATCCTATGACGGCATTTCCGTTGTCTATATATATGTTTTTCTTACTGGTATCTATATAGAGATAATAACTATATACGAGCAAATTATCGTCTCTTTAATATGTCGTTTTACTATGAAGGATTTCTTTGTATATATTATTCGATAATCTCAATTAATGAATAACAGATAACACGTAGAATTGACTATTTAATAAACGATTACATGCATCTAAATTATTATCAGGCTATATTCATTCATTATTACATGCACGAGAATATCATATACATACGTCTAATTTTTTAGATTTAGCTTTTTCAATGTATTTCTAAATTTAAACAGTTATATTTGTTTTTCTCCTGTTGAGGTTTGAAGAAGAAAAAGAAAGAACATTTTATCATACATACCTTCATTTTCTCTTCCATAGATAATCGTACTTTTGCTGTTGTTGTTGTTGTTGTTGGTGGTAGTTTAGTTTGAACAGATGTTATTGTTTCGTTTGATGTAGTAGTAGTCTATTACAAAGTAATATATAAATATTTAATAATTAATTTAATGAAAAAAAATCCCTGGAAAATAAATTCGATTGATTTTATTATATGATCTACTTGTGTGATGGTTTATAAGGGAAGAGAACAAAAAGATAAGCAGCTGACTTTTCTTTATATGTTGATTGCAAATTTTTTTATATTGCAATTCGGTTTTTGTCTGTGGTTATAAACGCCATCTTGTCCTTGTCACTTTTTCGTTAATAACACATAAGTGTGAAGCTATATTACCTGTATAGTAGATTCATGTTCTGTGCATTGTATAAATGTATTAATAAAAAGAACAATAATCATCAAAGTCAAATGCCGTAACTGCATAGTATATTCTTTTCTTCTATTTTTTTAACAATCGAAATATAATGCAGTAGTTACATTTTGCTTCATGATTCTTTTTTAGTCTCAATGATAATTGTGTTTATATATAGAGAATGATTGGTATCAATTACGTCTAAACCTTGTTCTTCTATCAAGTAATTCTGTTGTTTTTACGAATACTTTTGTATTTACGTCATACATTCTATACAAAGATATGAGTAGTTGATAATTAGTATGAAAGGCACATGTGCATCGATTTGTTTCTATAATATATATATATATATTGATCTTTCGTCTTACTTATAATAGAAAGAATGATATAATTAAAGAACCTAGAATGATATTCATCATTAATATATTACTATATTCAATAGCTTACAGTAATGTGGAAAGAGAGACAGGAAGTATTTTCGAGGTTAATATTTGATGATCTCGTATATCTTTTTAAATACTATAATAAATACACTATTGCTTTTTGTTTCTTTATGTGTTATAAAATCATTTTTCGTTTTTTTCTAACCTATAAAATCCTTTGCGAGAATCGAACCATCAATAATGATAAAAAAAAACGAAGAGAAAAGATCAAATTTCAATCAAATATAATACACAAGCACACACACACACAGAAATATATTTCTATAAACTTGAAACTATATCGATAGGTACGCACTTCTTTAATAATATGGACCGACCTTATCACCTTTTTTCTCTCTCTATACAACAACAACAACAATAATAATATGATATAAAAATAACTTTTTAAGAATAAAAGTAATTAGAAGATATATTTCATGAACGATGATTGATGCACTACGCATGATATAAACTCTTGATATCATAGGATATTTGATACTACATATGCGAACTAGAATTGACATGTTCATACAAATAGATGGAAAAGAAAAAATGCTATGATTGGATCCATCTGTGCAGAACTTTCATCAGCTCATATATCAAATAGTACAAATGTAAAAAATATCTCCTTCGAATGACAAAAGACAAAGATTTATTCTTTCAGTATACAATTAATGAATAAAACGATGTGTGCTCAACAGTTCGTTTATATTCTTGGTTCATTCAATCTTTTCCTAGCTGGTATTGCTGTTATATGTGTTACACATGCTGAAAATCATCCTGAACATTACTCACTTGTTTATATAGCTATAAGTATATTCATATTTTATATGGGAACAATTCTAGTTATCATTATGTTACAAATTATTGAAACATATCAAGAACAAAATCAATCAGCATTAGAAATACAAATACCTGTATTAAAAATATTAGTGCCATCTCAATCAAATACAATCATTGATGAAAATTTAACAATATCGAAAGAAGTATGCTAATTGTCGACAAAAAATCATTGCTAGAAACTTAATCAAATGCAAAATCTTGACTGTATTATTATCGTCTTTGTTCATCATAGTATTTATAAAAAATATAGTAATAATTTATAAGTTCATATGTGTGAAGAAAAATAAATTTTATAATTATAAATTGAAACTATGTCAGTTTTTTTGTTTTGTACTAATTCGAGCTTAATAGATTTTGGTGTATATTAGAAACTTGATCATAACAAATTTTTTCCTTTTGTTTCTAATCTTAACTTAAATATTCGTTATCATATTCTTTAGTATTACTCAGCGACATCATTATGCACTTGGTATTTCTATTCACTTATGCATTTGAATTAAAATTGATAAATCGTTATATATATATTAAGAAAATACATGAATTATGTTGTTTTTATAATTAATTTAATGGTTTAAAAAAAATGACATGGTCAATTGAGGTTAAAAAATTATTTTGTATTGGTCAAACAGTTCTACTTTCCCTCTTACGACGCGCTGTCACCGTTTACTCGCCGCCACAGAGAGGATTTGCAATTAGATTCAATATATCAGTTACAATGAATTTTTCAATATTATATCATATACATATATATATAAATCTAATTTTCTCTAGATGATACGTTTTTCAGTTTTGTGTATATTTCTCGCGATTGTTTTTGTTGCTGGACAGGAACAAGATAATTTGATCAATACAAATGTTGAGCGAACACTTGATCTTGTCTCACATTTACCAAAAGAAACAATAAGTGTAACAATTGAAAATCGAGGAACAAAAGCAGTACGTTATTATGATTATTACGCTGAACCACAACATGTTAATGATGTTGCTTTCGTCGGAGCTGTTGTAAGTTCATCATATTTATATGATATGTTTTGATAAATATTTGCGGAAAAAAAAATATTCTATTTTTTAGGTTAAAGGCAAAAACACTGATGATCAAGCTAGTTTACCAATAAAACAGGAAGCCACTGATAAGACAAAGTAAATAAAAATAAATACATATAATATTTTACTATAATCTGTTATTTCTAGAGGAGCTATTTATCGTATTGAATTACCAAGTGATCTTCGTGCTGGTCAAACCATTACACTTGAAATAGAAGTAGTTCATGCTAATGCTCTTCGTATGTATCCAGATGAAATCACTCAAGCGGAACGACAATTAGTTTTATATAAAACAAATGCATACTATTATTCACGTTATGCAACAACAACACAAAAAACTATTGTTACATTACCAACTGATCGTGCTGAATCATATACACAAACACCAAAACCAGTTGCTAAAAGTGAACAAACAATAACATATGGCCCATATGAAAATGTAGCTGCATTAGCACGAAATGAAATATCATTACATTATGAAAATAATAATGCATTTTTAACTGTTAGTAATATCAAACGTTGGATTGAAGTATCACACTGGGGAAATATTGCTGTTGAAGAAACAATTGATATTTATCATAGTGGTGCTAAATTGAAAGGATCATTTTCAAGACTTGATTTTCAACGAAAACAAGATAGTTATTCAGCTGTAAAGACATTTAAAGTAAGAATTTTGTTTTTCTAATAAAATCTAGAGTTTTGTTTTTGTATAAATTTATTTATTTTTTGTAGACATCATTACCAGCTTCTGCTCGTGATGTTTATTATCGTGATGAAATCGGTAATGTTTCAACAAGTCATATTCGTGAAATGCAAGATCAAGTTGAAGTTGAAATTCGCCCACGTTTTCCATTATATGGTGGCTGGAGAACTCATTATATACTCGGTTATAACGTTCCATCATATCAATATCTTTTCAATAAGTACGTTAGAGATATATCAAATCATAGTATTTCTTTTTCCGGATATTTTTAAAGACTTAAGAAACATTTTTGATCTAGTTGAACTTTTGTATTTAATACTTTTGTTCTATTTTTTAGAGGAAATCAATATGTTCTTAAAATGCGTCTTGTTGACCATGTTTATGATGATCAATTACTTGAACAAGCTACTATTAAAATAATTTTACCTGAACATGCTCGTAATATTGAATTTTATGCTCCACCTTACGATGTTCAACGTTTACCTAATGAAAAACATTATACATATTTGGATACTGTTGGTCGCCCAGTTGTTGTTATAAGCAAACGAAATGTATTATTTCAACATATTCAAGATTTTGAAATACATTATACATTCGATAAAATAATGTTATTTCATGAGCCAATGTTAATTGTCATTCCATTATTCGGTTTATTTTGTTTAGTAATTATTTTAGCTCGTTTGAATTTTAATATATCACATAATGAAAGTAGCGAATCACGTATGCGTATTCAAGCAATATGGGAACAAATTGTTGAAAATAATATCAAACGATCAAGTTTTTATCAAAAATTAGATGATGCATTGAATGCATATAAAACAAATAAAGATCTTAAAATTTATAATGAACAACGTAAAAAATTAGAAAATGAACTTAAAAATGTTCAACAAGATTTAACAACTTTACAAACTAAAATTAAAGCTGATAGTGCTGATTCATCTGAAAAGGTTTGTAGTTTAAATACAAAAAAAAACATAAAGATTTATTTCTTTTTTTTCTCCTTTATATCAGATTGCTGAATTACAACGACTTGATGCTCAACAACGCGAAATTCAATTAGCTTTAAGTGGTCATACTGAAAAACTTGTCACTGGTAAAATGCAAAAACAACCTTATTTAGAACAAGAACAATTATTACGTAATAAAGTACGTGATATTAATGCACGTGTAACGGCTATTATTAATCAATATTGATTTTTAACATGATTTTGACATCCGGCTGAACATTTTCTTCTTTATTCTTTTTCTTCTGTTTCGTTGTTGTTCTTTCTCTTGTTACTCCTTAGGTTAATAGAGATGATTACATTTTGTCATGGTTTTTTTTGCTTTCTTTTTATTGCATTCTGTTTTATGTTATTTGATCATCTGAATATTGATGATCATTTTCAAATAAAATAAAACATCCGTAAAAAAAAATAAAACTCAAGATTAGATCTTCTGAACTATTTCATATAATAAGATATTTGTGTGATATAAACTTGAGAGATTTTAAACATCAATTTGATAATCAATTGGAATAACAGCAAACTAATTTTATGCATTTAAACTTTAATCTTAATAACGTTGCCAAGAGTATACCATTCAAGATGTAAAGTTTTAATTTTGTGTGTTGTATATATAGTTTCGTCTAGCGATGTAAAATGTGCACTATTTTAAAAATAAAGTAATATTATATTTGTTATTGACTTTCAAAATCCGCTCTCAACATAGAAATAATCGTAGATCAGAATATATGTTCAGTATAAGAATGAAGATCAAGTTTACATAAGAGAATCAAAGTAATACAAATATGTAAAATATATATCTTGTACATGGTAAGGTATTTCTAATGTTAGAAGCAAGAAAATTTGTAGGTATTGCATACACATCATGTAGCAGCAACATATAATATAGAATATCCTTGTTTATTGTTAAGACAGCACTATTATAGTAGAAATAATGGTTGATGAATGTAGTATTAAACACTTTTTAGTCTCATTTAATTATTAATCATCGACAGATCGCTGAATTTGTCAAAAGAACTAGGATGAGGCTT